TATACAACGATTTGATGTACGCAAAACTTTGTAGCTAAACCTTTTTATTACCCTGTATGTACCGCCAGAGATCGCATCTTTAAACATTTAAACTACATCATACCTTTCCGCCAACGATGCTGAGTCCTAAGCTGGTCTTCGGCTCTCTGTATATCTCCACCAGTCTCTCGGGACCCCAATGCTTCGACCAGGTGACGTCGCCATCGTGCTCCCTGTGTGTGACGGTCATATCCCCTTTTCCCTCCACGAAGACGACAGTCGGAAACTTGCGTGGCGAACTCGAGCTCGACGAGGGCGAGCTCTCGGTCTTCCTAGAGATCGAGCTGGCTGATCTACTCTGGTGCGCGTGCTCCGGACGATCGGCGCTCGCTTGGTCAGCCTCGAGCAGCTCGTCGTCGCTGCATTGGATCGCCTTCGACTCCTGGTAGGTCTGTACCTCGACCTCACGCCGCGGACTACGCAGAATGTCTTCTCGGGAAGAGGATCTCGACCTAACGGACGTTCTCGTAGAGATGTCCTCCGGGATGCATTGAATGCTCTTCGACTCCTGCGTCTGATCCGCAGCGTCGCCTCTCGTTAGACCACTCAGATCGTCCAACGAGCACTGAACGCTTTTATTCTCGCCCTGAGTCTGCGTTTGTACTTCCCGTCTGGGACTCTGGAAATACCTCTGGCCGATGTGGAAGGGACTGATCCCGGATGGCTCGTCGCACGGACTCGTCACACTCTGTTCAGGGCTGCACTGTGTACTCTTAGACTCCTGCACAGTCTGCGTTTGTACATCGCGCTTCTCCTTGGGCGAATACTGCGTTTCTTTGAAGCTGTGCTGGATCTCGCCAAGACTCTCCTCGTAAACTTCGCGGGTCCAACTCTCGGGTACTTCCTCAGGTAGGTCTTCTAACGAGGAGGTGAATATCTCGTGAAATAAATGATCCGATTGGCTCTCGAGTGTTTGACTTTGATACTCGAGCGAGTGCTCCTTGCAGATCAGATCCTCCTCGTGCTTACAAATCGCTTCCTCCAACAACGGCGAGCGTTTCTCCCGCGAAGGAGTCGTCTGCTCATAACCACGCGGCTCCCTCGCGTCCTCCTCGGCTTCTTGTCGTGATAATGGCTTTTTTTCTTCTTCTCTTCCGGAATTTTGCGCCGGAATCGCACTATCGGCAACTTCGCCGACAGGAATTGCGAGATCCTTCGCAACGTGGATGGATCCCTTGGACTCGCGTCGAACTTGGAACTCACTGGAGAAAACCAGGAAAACCAGATATCACAGAGCGGAAGGAAAATCCATAGTCAGTCGACGGCTTCGTGCCTAGAGTTTTAATGATGCAGCAAAAGGCCACCGCACAAAGCCGTCGCTGACAGTAAATGAATCTTTGACGTTGTTATCTGATCAGACATAATTGCGTGCAATGGCTTTCTTAATTGCAGCGATCTTGTAGTCAGCGGTATAAAAAGACTGGCCAACTGCCGAGGTCATTTGGTACTGTCGAATACTAGACTCGATATAAATCAAAAGCGATTGCTCTTATCGGTGGAATTATTTCTCTTCAGTACGAAAATAAAATTAAAATAATTCAGCCATTTATATTCCTCGCCAGCGACAAAGACACTTTTATATTCTACTATTCGTGAAAATATGGATTGAACCAAAAATGAATACGATTTGCGACGATTTATGATAAAACGTAAATAATATCTTCTTTCTTAACCCTCTGTCCGCAATTTCCATCTTTTTTAGCACAAGTGAAATTTCATTTTCAAATTTTTTCATTTTTGCTCAAATTTCAATTTTTATTTAATGAAGGTTTTAACATTTAAATTAAAAAACTATGTGGGAACATAACAGAGATGTTGAAAAATAACTTTGAATTTTTCCACATTTTTTGAAAGTCGACACTATTAAAGGAGCAATGGTTCCCTTGGGTTAAAATAATATTTTGTTATTTCTAACTTCCATATGGTTAAAATGTAAATCAATTCATATCTGTGGTTAATTTGAAAGCCCCTATTAATAACGTCCATATTAACATATGCACTTAATAAACTAAATTTCAGTAAAATTTAATATTTCCTCGAGTTAAACTGTTTAACTCCATCGTTTTAGTTAAATTAATGATATGTTGAATAAGAGAGCAGTGATGACTGCAAAAACGATTAAAATAAATCAAATTGTGTATAATTGGACATTATAAATATAATAGTGTGGAATAGTAAAAAAAAAAACTTGAGCTGGACAAAGAATCCACATTGTGAAATGTGGAGATGAAAGATTAATTGGCTCGACAAAGGAATATTTGTACGAACGCAAGATTAACATAATTAATACGAGAAGTAACGGAACGTGAAGGATTAAAATATTTTCTCGTTTCTTTATCCTCTTTACCTCTTTGTAAAATAAAAATGCAATTAAAAGCATAAAAGTTTTACATCATGATATCTCTCACCGACCCTATTTCTCGTAGCATGCAATTGAAATGAGAGGATTGTATAATGGATGATAATATAGATGGGCTTATTGTTTGTCTGTGTTGGAGCGATATTCTCGATGTGGAACGTGCGCACATTTTCGATATGTACACACGCGAACATAGTATAAATCCCGCACGGAAACGTGACAGACCTACCACTGTGTTTGCTTTTAGCAGAAAATCTCCCATTCGAATGGTTATGATATCTCGATCAAAAATATCCCGAGATTTTTCCCGAGCCTCGAAATCGTTCGGAATATATAGTATAATACTAATACTATCATATCCATTATCAACATGAAATCGTGTATTTTCAGACCTCGCCGCTGTAATGCATCTGTTTGATACGCGTGCTTAACAAAAACAAGAAATCTAAAATGCGAAGTATGAACTCGTGCGAACTCTGATATTTCTCACGTTGCAGAAACTTGTGGGAGCTCGGTTAAAATTTCCTAACGTATTCGTTGCGTGGCATTCTTCCAAATCAATTTTGTAATAGCGGATATCTAATTTGTACAAAACCTATATACCGATTAGATACCAAAGGTGCATTTGTAACTCAATCCTTTTGACATAAGTAATGTTGTCATTGTCACTGTCATATGTGTGTCAAAATGTAAGCCAATCCATATTTCTGTGATTACTTTGAAAATAAACCATTTATAACGTATGCACTTAGAGCAAATAATAAACTAAATTTAATATATACATTTTTTTTTTAGTGAAATTGTTTAACTTCATTATTTTAGTTACATTATCATATTGAGTTGAATAAGAGCAGTGGTTCTCCATAGAAATGATTAAAAATAACTCAAATTAGATGCAATTTCACATTGAATCTAAAGTACAGATCTAGTGTACAGATTTGTCTAACTGTTTACGCAGAGCAATCTGAGAATCTTTACGTAACTCGCAATTCTCTAATTTAAATAAACCTCAAAACAACTTCATCTACAAAACATGTTAAAGAAGAATTTCCCTCGCGGCGTGCTTATATATCTATTATAATTGCGATGCGAGAACAGCGAGACCAATTAAGCTGATTGTTCCTCGCGCATCCTATCGCGCGAAATATCGAAAGAGAAATTCGCATCAGTTGCTTAGCTGTGCTCGCAGATTCTAATGTAATAAGCGACGCTTACGCGACGTTCTCCAACTTTCCGTTATCCAAACGGGACGTTATCCCTCGGATCTTCCCGGTCCCGACGGATCTGTCCGACGGATCTGTCCGACGGACAGTCTCGCAAACGTCTCTCGAGAACGAGCGAAAAAGTAAGGGTGTACAAGTCAGGGCACTCGTCGGAAAGCTCGTTGGAGAATGCAACGCAAGGAGAGGAACTCCGGACAGCACGCGAAAAGGCTTTTCGTTTCCTTACGTTTGCCCGAGGTATTCACTGTCGTGTGTGTGCGCGTCCCCGACAGCCGGTACTCCGTGCGTCACTGCAAACTGGCTTCCTCTGATCTAATAAATAACACTCGTCGGAGCGCATGCACACGTATACACACGTGCACGCACACGTACGCGAGACGGCGGCGCAAACGCCGAGACGATAACGTGCCGAGCGTGGACGCACGCCGACTGCGCGGGCGACCGACTACCAGTGCGACTACTCGCGAGACCGCGAGAGTAGAAATACTGCGTGCGCGCGCTCTGCGTCCGTGAGGGAGTTGATTCCTGCGTACGTGCGTATACGCGTGCACAGCTGCCGCCCATTGAGCGCGCGTATGCACGTGCATACGCGCGGTTCGCTTGTGCGCGTAACTCGTGTACAAGGTGTGCGGTACTCGTCGTATAATTCTTAAGCCCCATTCGATCATTGAGTAGATATAGTTTAAGTGACTGTAAGAATTGACCAATCACAGTTTAATATTTTTCTCATACTCTACTATACTGAGATTAGTTCAATTCGAAGCTGCGTTTTCCCACACTGCCAGAAAAACTTTACAACATGCTACACCCTCTTCCATCCGCTCTTCCCCTTCGGTTCCTTCGTTTCGTCGTTCTGCCGCTATTAAGGTCTTCGTGCCAACGCTTCAATTGTCTTATTTACTTTAATTGTCAGTATTTTCTATATTAATTCCGATTCTTGTTAATTGTCTTTACTGTGTGATAAGTCTGCGTTTGTTATTTTAATCATACTTTTTTGCAATTGTACTCAAATCATTCTTGTTCTCGACTTTCTTAAAACTATCGAGTGGTTTACTTAGCAGGAAACTTATCTTTCTGGAATTGTACTAATTTCTCTGTAATTTGTAACTTATGGCCTTAAAGTATATTCGACAATTGCGTAAGCATTGTAAGTAGTCGTAGCTGTAAGAATTAATCAATCACAGTCGAATTTGAAAAGAATATTCGACCGTGATCAAAATTCTTACAACTACGACTTTATAACTTTACAACTCTACAATTACGCTTACGCCAATGAAAAATGAACTTTATGGGCCGTCTACAACGGGAATGATATCGTGTAGTGAGCTATAAACTGTAAAAAATTGATTAATCATAGTCGATTATTCTCCTCATTTAACTATAGTTGGACGATTTCTTACCGCTTACAACTTACTGCATACACCATATTACTCCTATTGTAGACGGCCCTTTATAACGACAATTCGATATCGTTGCATTGTCGTTATGAAGCTTTTTTTACCATACGTGCTTTTTTATCTGCGTAACGACAATATAACAATACTGGCATTATCGTTAAGAGTTGTGGAACTGGAATACTGGAAAGTTTATGTAACGACAATAAGACGGACTTCAAAGTTTTGACATAAACGTTTACGGGAAGTAAGTTCTCTGATTTATCGAAATTCACGTCAATTAAAAGTAACATCTATAATTTTGAACTCAATAAATGTAACTATTACGTAATACTATGTGTCACATTACATTTATATTGTCGAGTTCGAAATTATAACATAATGTTACTTTTACTTACTGTTGGGTTCATTTGAAACTGAATCATGAAACTGAACACTGCGTATTAAATTAGCACAGATTATAGCCAATTTGAGTTGTTTTTAAGCATTTCTTTAGTTTGCTTCTTATTTAAATAATATGTCGTTAATTTAAATAAAATATATAAAGTTAAACAATTTAATTCAAGAAAATGTATAAAAATTTGATTTAAATTTAGTATTCCAAAAAACGTTCGATAAATTTCAGCCGGTTTTGTCAGAAAATCTCGAAAAACCTTCTGAAAAACTTTCTTAGACCAGTATTCATAATTGGTTCTTATATTTAAGACAGTCTTAAGATGCACTGCTTTAAGATGTCATACGCTAATTACGAAACCGTAACGACATCTTTATAAAGCATTATTCGAGACAGTCTTAAAGCGAGAACATACCAGGCATTGGACATTTATATTACGCGTGTCAGTTTGTATTGAAAGAGAAGTAAACGTGTATAGCACGCGAATGTAAGAATATGTATATACACCTGCGTGTATGGAAACTTACAAGGCGGTACATATACACGTATGTACCGTGCACGGAAATGGCGCTCGCAGGAAGTGAGAGTGTATGAACGTGTCGTTGAATGCACACGACTGTGCATTACGAGATCGTTTATATACACCGTGGCTAAGGTAGCTGGAAGTACGTATTGAGGAGATTCAGCGAAATCGGAATCAGCGTGTACGCGTACTCGGGAACACGTACTGATTTGCGCGAGCTGATTTGCGAAGGCGTATGTGGGAGATTCATACGCGTACACGTGCCAAAATGTAGGCGCCCGATACGTGCTTGGGAAATGCACACGCGCG